AAACTACAATGTCATTTGCCAAAAACTTAGAACTTACGTAGGTGGTCAACTTACCTGAAGTACTGTTCTTACATATATACTAGATTAAATTACTTTATTTTATATGTGTATCAACAAACTCAAAGTACAATACTTATAAATATAAATATAAACAATACACTTTTCTTTGTTATTGGTTTTGATAAATTAATTGTAATACAGAATTTTTATTTTAAATTATACTTGATTTTAAAGAGCATGGGACCGCACTTTTCATTAATTTATAGTAGTGTTTACATACATATGTCTCATTTTATAAATGTATATTCTCGCTTACTAACTATAAAAACAATTACACCTTATGAAATCCTAATACTTATAAGAAGGAACATTAAAGTAACATTCTATAATAATATATATAGCGGTTAGTATATTAAAAAATAATATTCTACAAGAATTAGATCAAACTGGACTAATAAATTGTTATAGCTCTGATAATCCGTCGAAGTGCTTAGAGACATTGTCCGTTGCTTGTCCAGAGCAAAACAACCGGTCCATACGTATTATTTCCATCAACATTCGTAGTATAAATTGCAACTTGGAGATGTTTACAGCATACCTTAGCCAATTTGATATAAACATAGACATGATTGTGTTAACAGAATTCTGGTCTCACGAGGATTATGAGCCGCCAACACTGGCAGGATATAATGTATACTGTAGTAAGAGACATCTAAATAAAAATTATGGTGTAGTAGTATACACAAAAATAACTTAGTAGTGGCGGCCATTGAACTCGATTTCCAGGACGGTAACTGCCTTGTAATTAAAATCCAAAGTAATATCACTGTGCTGTGTATCTATAGGCCACCTAGTTTTAGAAACGTTACAAACTTTTTAGAATCATTGGATACAGCATTAAATAATTATAAAAGCACTACGGTTGTGTTAACGGGAGATATTAACTTGGATATTCTTAATGAAAGCGCAAATGTATACACAACGTAGTATCTTAACTTAATGGCAACTCATGGATTAGTACCTGGAATTAATAAGCCTACACGACAAACTACCTGCTTGGATCATTTTATGATCAAAACATATGGACAGGCCCAAACTATAGTTTTCAATGAGTTTACCGATCACTCACCCATATTACTATATATTTCGTTGTCAGCAGTACAAAAGAAAAACCTCAGATGCGAGAAAGTTGACATAAATCTAGAAAAAATTAAAAATGGGATCAAAGACATCTCCTGGGAAAATTACTATAAGTTAAAGGATTGTAATCATGTAGCAGAGTTTTTAGTAAGCAATATACATAATATAATATCGAAAAATACTTTGATAAGGACAGTACCTAAGAAAAAGCAACCACTTAAACCATGGATAACCGTAGGATTATAAAAATGTATGCGAAAAAGCGATAAAATACACAGAAACCTTAAGCGATCTCCTCATGATGAGAGTATTTTAAGCGAATACAAGCAATATAGAAACATATGCAATAATATTATAAAAACTCAAAAAAGAAATTATTTAAGAAATTTGTTAGAAAAAAGACGTGGGGACATTAAAGGTACATGACATGGGACATTATTCAAAATTTAAACAACTTAAAAAAGGTTAGCAATACACCCGTTGAATTAATCTGTTCTCGTGATGTGTCACCTAAAGAATCACTTAATGAACTGAATATATATTTTACGTCGATTGGCAAAACACTAGCTGAAACAACATTAAAGCTACTTAGTGAGACGGAAGAGAGGCTAGCTAGTAAGAGTATGCACAGTAGAAGCTGTGTCGACTCAATGATGTTTTTACCCACTGATCCATTAGAGATAAAGAAAATTGTACAACAGATGAAGGATGCAAAAACACCGGGTTGGGATAAGATTAGTGCAAAGATCATAAAACAATCAATAGATATTCTCGGTGATCCACTATACTATTTATATAACCTGAGCCTAGAAACAGGGGTTTTCCCAGTTCTTTTCAAGAAAGCTATTTAAGCACACTATCTAAAATTCTGGAAAAAATAGTTAACATTAGACTTACGAAATTTCTTGACCAAAAAAATCTCATCTCGTCCAATCAGTATGGCTTTAGGAAGAATAAATCTACAAAAGATGCTGTTTTAAAACTAACTACACTAGTGGCCAATTATTTAGATAATAATAATCACTGTGTTGGGGTCTTTTTGGACCTACGAAAGGCTTTTGATACTGTGTCACCGAGGATACTTCTGAAGCGAATGGAGCGAATGGGTATACATGGGATTCCCTATGATTGGTTTAAAGACTACTTAAGTAATCGAAGCCAGCAGATTAAAGTTGGCACATACATTAGTGACGAAACTAACTGCGATTACGGAGTCCCACAAGAAACAGAAACAGAAACTTTTTTATTCTATATAGATTATAAATAATACTTATTGAAAGTCACTCTTTTGTTTGATTACCACTGGTTCGGAAAAAACCTCTGTCCTGGGAAGAACCAGCAAGAAACCCAGCGGGACTTTTTTTTTAAATAACAGCTAACAATCATGATGTTACACAAATTAACAACACAACAAATTAGAAATAGCTTGGTAGCGATCACCTCATTTACAGGGGTTATTATCATCCATAAATTCCTTAATATTATAATAACCCTTTTTATACAAACTTAGTTTAATAAAGTTTTTAAACTTTGAGCAGGTCAAACTTTGTATATTTTCTGGAATTTTGTTGCGTAGCGTATACATCGCCACAAGAATGAATTACTGACTCGATGGAGTCGAGTAACTGGTACTACTAGCTTGTGTCTGTTCCTAGTATTTACAGAATGAATATCACTTATTTTTGTAAAACTACTTTTATTTTTGTGTATGTACATTACATTTTCATATATGTATTGAGAGGCCAAAGTTAATATATTAATTTCCTTAAATATTTGTCGCAGCGACTCTTTAGGCTTTAAATCATAAATTGCTCTTATGGGCCTCTTCTGTAAAACAAATATAATTTCAGTGTCAGCTGCGTGTCCCCATAGCAAAATACCATACGACATTATGCTAAGGAAATAGCTGAAGTAAACTAGTCTAGCTGTTTCAACACTGGTTAGACTTCTAATCTTTTTTACAGCATATGCTGCAGAACTAAGTCTGCTTGCTAGTTTTGATATATGGGAGCTCCATTGACGCTTCGCGTCTAGTGTGCTAACCTAAATTAGGTGATATTCAACAATTACGAAAACTTAATACCTATAAATTAAAGAAATATATAGAGGACTTCATGAATAAATTATATTACAAAGATACAGAACACATGATGGAAAGTTTAAAGTGAAACGCGCACGCACACACACACACACACACACACACACACACACACACACACACACACACACACACACACACACACACACACATACACATACACATACACACACACACACACACACACACACACACACACACACATACACATACACATACACACACACACACACACACACACACACACACACACACACAACATAGGAGCACACACACAATTATTGTACACTGTAAATAATATAATATGTACAACATAGACAAGAGATATGAAGAGCATTGACTCCTGTAACACAGGCTTTCCTAGTACAGGAGTCAAAGATCTCTGTTTGCACATTTCGTATTCTGTACCAAAAGTAATCAATTTGTATCAAATATATATATATATATATATATATATATATATATATATATATATATATATATATATATATATATAATAATAATAATAATTTATTGACAAAGGGCACAATTCTTCTAAAGATATCTAATTTGTCAAAATACGATGAGTAGTTTAAAAGATCTGAGGGAACAGATGAACATACATACATACATAGCCTTCTAAAATTGTAACCATCCTTTTAGCTTCGCCGTAGTTAGGTAAAATACTCACCATCGGTATCGATAATTGAAGTTGAGGCAAGCTATGCATGGTGCTGCACTATTTGTCACCCGCACATTGTGTATTTTGATTTTGGTTGCACCTATGGAGTGTAGAGTACAAGGAGAACCATCTTATAAGGGTCAAAAGTTGAAAAAATGTCCTACTATTTATTGAAAATAGAGGTTCCAAAACTTACCACAATAGCGCTGGCGTCTGAAAAACTATGATATGACGATAGCTGTTGTGAACGGATTAAAGTCAGCTGAATTCAAATATTTAAAAAATTTCATAATTACAGTAGTTAGTAAAATGCCAGTATACAAAATCTCAACTATTTACGTAGTACAAAACCAAGCGGATTGGTCGATCTTTGTTTATTTCTCCAACTTATTCTAATTCATTTTGGCGCTTTTTTTTAATTTTTCCTATGCTACTACAGCGCCACCCTTATTGGACACGATTTTAGGGACACTTTTCATATATATAGATGGTCTTCCTTCTCTCTACACTCCATAGTTGCACCCTATTCACTCTATCACCAGTCTATACTCTATTCCAATTACGAAGTCCCATTTGACAGATGTCAATAATCAAGTACTAGTAAAGTACCGCTATAGTCGATACTTGACTATATTGATCTTCGATTACTATAACGAACAAATTAAAATCGTATTGACAGAAAAAGGATTAGCATCAAATTAAAATTTATAAAACTGTTTTTTTAATTTTAATTAGATAATATTACATGATATTTTTATGAAGATGGAACATATTCATCATCACTAGCCGAAATCGATATTTCATGGTCGGCATCGTCGTCATCATTCTCATCATCGTCTTTAGAATCACCTGTATTTATTATAATTTGGTTATCTATGACGACATCGATATGTATGTCACTTTCCCAATTCGCGGCAGTAACACTATCACAAGCTTCTTGAAACAATGACAGCATTTTATTTGCAGTAAACGGTGGGCTGGTATTTTTACGAGCCGCATTACCTAAAATAAAGGTTTGCGTGTTAATATAGCAACATATAAAATGTTAAAATAGGTAAAAATAAATTATAAAAAATATTTGTTTAAATTCTTGCCTTTAATTTACGCCCAAATCAATTCTATGGCGTTGTATTGACAATGGTAGGGTGGAAGGCGCATTACATTGTGTCCGGCTTCCTTAGCCATTTCGTCTAATACGTATTTTGGTCTAGCTGGCTTATTTATAGCAACCAAATGCAGCAGCTCAACTTTTAACATGGACATGTCAGCAACAATATTATTGTCATTCAGCCATTTCACAACATCGGCTTTTTTGCTGCTGGAAGTTGGAGGCTTACTTTTTTGTACAGAATGATACGGTGCATTATCCATAATGATCGTCGATGGCTCATTCGAGTTGGTCAATAAGAAACAGAAACAGAAACAGAAACTTTTTTATTCAATATAGATTATAAATAATACTTATTGAAAGTCACTCTTTTGTTTGATTACCACTGGTTCGGAAAAAACCTCTGTCCTGGGAAGAACCAGCAAGAAACCCAGCGGGACTTTTTTTTTTAAATAACAGCTTACAATCATGATGTTACACAAATTAACAACACAACAAATTAGAAATAGCTTGGTAGCGATCACCTCATTTCCAGGGGTTATTATCATCCATAAATTCCTTAATATTATAATAACCCTTTTTATACAAACTTAGTTTAATAAAGTTTTTGAACTTTGAACAGGTCAAACTTTGTATATTTTCTGGAATTTTGTTGTAAAAGCGTATACATCGCCCCAAGAATGAATTACTGACTCGATGGAGTCGAGTAACTGGTACTACTAGTACTACTAGTACTACTAGGTACAAAACCATTCCTTAAATTTAACAAAATTCATCTCTTCGTGGTATTCCACAGTTTTTTTAGATTTAAACGCCAAGAGGCAGTTCGGAACAAATCCCTTCATGTAACCCGCATGACAAATATTTTTTTTTTATAGGATAAGGGTGACAAACGATCACACAGTCCACCTGATGGTAAGTGGTTGCTGCGGCCCATAGACATCTACATCTATCCTTGTTTCCGAATCAAAATGCAGATGCGTTGCCACCCGTGAGGACCAAGATGGAATGCCTCATTTCCAGTAAAAAGGCCAAGGCCACCTGCACTCACCAAGCGAAACGCAGAGGTAAACCTCTACTTCACACTGGTATTCTGTGAGGTCGTGGTACCACCCCAGTTCGAGCCAGCCCATCCGTGCGACAGCAAAAGCTGCCGCGTAGCTCTACCACTGTTAAAAATAATTAAGCGTTCGCCTTTGCCACTAGGTACTTTTGTGGAGGAGTGAAGAGTGTCGTCTGTCCATATCTTGCCAAATGTATGATTAGCGTTTAACCACGTCTCATCTAGAAATATAACATTATTCCAAACGGCAATGGACTTTGCTGATCTTAGAAAATTAAATCTGGCTAAAGCTATATCTCTACGTTCCATCAAAATCCGCCTTTTATCACATTTTTTATAAGAAAAGCCAACATTTTTTAAAACCCTCCAGAAAGAAGTTCTACTGCCGTGAAAGAGTCCAGTTTCTCGTAAAGTATTTGACAATTTATCGAGAGTCGGCAGTTCGTTCCTACTATAGTAGCCATAGATATGGTTTCTAATGGCGTCGCTATCAAAATTGGCGATATGTGTAATTATCGATCTTCTAAGTTTTTTCTTAAGTGGCGATTTTAATTTGTTATCTTCCATTAAATCTTTACCATGTTTTTCCTTACTTACAGTATCGACCATAGTGTTTATAAATACAAAAAAACCAAATCAAATAACAGTCAAAACTTAATAACAACGAAAGAATTATCAAACAGTTATAACTACAATAAAAAGAACGAAATAAAAACACAACACAAAATCAACTAAACTGAACACGTGTATCGTATACAAGGCTTCTGCACTCGTACTGAAGAGACAAACAAAATGGCGGTCGTGATCACGAGGTGGAAGCAGTGTTGACAGATTTTCACTCGCGAAAAGAATCTGTCTATAATCGATTTTATAGGATTCTTTTAGTCACGTGACTATGTAAAAAGTAAGTAAAGTTCACCATTTTACCCAAGAAGTAAAAGTTAACTTAATAAACATGAACAAACTAGTATTATTTCTTCTGGCATTATTCGTACCATGAATTAATCGAATACATCTAAGTTTAATTAATAGCGATGAAAATGAATAAATAAATTAATATAATAAAATTATTTAACCATCTGCCGGATACTTAGATAAACCCGAGTAATGAGATACAGAGATTGTGTACTACCTTACTTTGTTCATAAGGAGATGTTACGGCCTACGGCTGCTCCCATAAAGGTCAAATCCTCAGGGGCCCATTCAGCTGAGTTTCGACGAGCAGACGTAGGTCGGGCCTCCTAAGGCCAAAGTGGAAAATCTCTAGTTACACTAAACAATAAGGGAGAAAGCTAGAAACACGTAGTACTTACCATTATCCGAAGCTAACTTCGCACCAAGGCTTGGGCAGGCCGTGAGTGTGTGTAATAGTGGATGGCGAGTAGTGTACAGTGAGGTGTGAATGTGTGGGGCCTTGGCAAGCATAGGCGACCAGCAGCGGCCGAGTTCCAGGCTGCTCCAAAATGCTGCCCCGCTTCAGACTGCTTCGGCGCCGGACTACTTCTTCGTTCGTCACGATGACAGTCCATTAACCCTATCGTACGATTAACTAAATTACAGAAGCCACTAACTCTAATTTGTTATAAAACGTAACACCCAAAACAAATACAGAATGTCGGTCTATACGAAATCCCGTTACTATAAGCAAAAACGTAACACACCGCACGAGCAATTAATATTGTCAAATCACTTATATACGCTATCAAATTAGAATAACCAAATTCGCGGTAAATTAGGCGCGCCTAATACGCAATTCAGACTTTGCTCGCAATCAATGTTAACTTCCTAAAAATTTGTCAGCCCGGCGTCGAATTCTAGACTTAACAAAGAAACCTTCGTCGTGGCTGATATCTGCTAACAAAACCGACTCCAAAAATGGAGGTTTCCCGGGCGTCCTTAAACATGCTCTCGCTAGCACAGTATTATAGCAACTGTTCGACTCGACCCCGCCGCCGGTAGCAAAAAACTCTCTCGCGCGAATGTCAAACCCGTACGAATGCACCGCGCTGAGCGCCCCCTGGCGTTAGTTCCTGAAATTAGCGTTTGGCGCGAACAGGAGATGATGATTTGACGTAGTGACTAAGCTAATATAAATGGCTCTTTGACGGTAAAGTAAAAGACGTAATTTGAGCGGTGAATGCTGTGATTAATTCATAACGGAAAAGTAAACGATATAATATGTAGAAATGAAATCAGTGGACGACTAATATAAAATGCTCATGCTTCTTCAATAATTTAACCAAAATATATCAGTCTTAGAAGGTAGAGTCTGGACAACTGTTTAGGAGATTTAAATATTATCACAAATTCACTTTTGCTTTCCAGGAACTCATACGTATCGTTTAATCGGCTACACCTGTTTTTATATCTATTCTTGAAAGAAAGAAAGAAAGAAAAAAAAATATTTATTACATCAAACACCAACATACATGTTACAAAAGATATTATGCACTAAAAAACTTATAACTACCAAAAGAAAATTGAAACCTAAATAAAATCAATACAATCAAAATTTTATTATGTGTGCGGGTTTTGGTATAAAAGGGCTATACTCAGCATTATTTCGTGGTATTATCCACGAAGCTGGTTTTCAGTGCGCCTTCTAGTGAGTAACGTACGGTCGAATATGCAACAACCAGTACAACTATTACTACGCTACGTTTGTTGCACCTACCACACATAAACACATAGTGAGTAAAAAAGAAAAATGAATAATGAGATGCAGATATTGCTGATTTTATGATAACAAACATCGCAAATTATTTATTACCAACAATATAATAATTATAAAATCTACTACTATTACTACTTATATTATATAATACTAAAATTTGCCGTGTAGTGGCGGTCAAGAATATCCACTACCCCATATCTTCCCGTGGGTGTCGTAAAAGACGACAAAGGGAAACAGGCAGGAGATGGGCAGCAGCATCTTCCTGATAATAGCCAAAATTACAATAAAAAACTGCGGTTGGCAACCCGCTCGCCAAGCGTGGCAACTATGGCAAATACCCCCCTATGAACAGAGTAACAAGGAGACGGCGCCCAGTCCCCGGTGGCCCCGCTATTCCTGGCTACGGTGGCAACCATGGTAACGGTGGGGCAGGGGGTGCTAAGAATCTCTGGTGGAGGTTCGGTTGCCACCTTAGACGACTCGACCTGGCAACATACAACGCACGCACCCTGAGGACTGACGAGAAGATCCTGGAGCTGGAAGAAGAGATAGACAAGTCGCGCTGGAATATCATAGGTTTATCCGAGGTCCAAAGAGAGGGGGAGGACTCGGTAATCCTCGAATCCGGCAACTTCTTCTATCACTGGGAGGGCGACCATCTGTCCCAAGGAGGTGCCGGATTTATCGTCCACAAGTCTCTCGTTAACAACGTTGTATAGATTGGGAGTGTGTCGACGAGGGTTGCGTACCTTATACTCAGAATCACCAAACGGTATTCGCTGAAGGTCATACAGGTTTACGCACCAACCTCGGCACACCCCGATGAGGAGGTGGAGGAAATGTATGAGGATATCTCTAGAGCCATGCATTCCTCCAAAACCCAATATACGGTGTTAATGGGAGACTTCAATGCAAAACTAGGCACAAAAGAGAACGGTGAGCTGAAAGTAGGGAAATTTGGAATAGGGCAACGGAACCCAAGGGGCCAGCAGCTGGCCGACTTCATGGAGAAAGAGGGACTCTTTATGATGAATTCTTTCTTCCAGAAGCGGCCCCATAGGAAGTGGACCTGGTCGAACCCCGACGGTTCGACAACAACTGAGATTGACTTCATTATGACGACCAGACGACAACTGTTCAGTGATGTCTCCGTGATCGCGAGGGTGAAAACTGGTAGCGATCACCGTATGGTTAGAGGCACACTGAACCTAAACGTTAAGTTGGAGAGGTCTCGTCTAATAAAGTTAACGCTACGTCCCCCTCGTGCTCTATTCCAAAGTCCTGAAACCTTTTAGCTCGAGTTACAAAACCGTTTTCAGTGCCTAGAAGACTGCAACGAAGTGGACGATATGAATGACAAGCTCGTGGAAACTGTGCGGCAGTAGAAGTAGAAGAACACAAAAACTCTCCGATCACACTCTTAATCTCATGGCTGTTAGAAGGGAGATAAAGCTACATTCTTCAACAGACTTGACAGCATACAGGCAACTGAACAGACAGATCTCCAAATGCATGCGGCGGGACTTACGCAACTTCAATACAGCTCGTATTGAAGAAGCGATCGAGCGGAACCAAGGCTCCAAAGTCTTTGCCAGAGATCTGTCTGCCAGAAAGAGCCAACTGTCAAAGCTGAAGAGCGAATGTGGCAGCATCGTTTCCGGGGCACCTGAGATTTTGAGTGAGATTGAGAGGTTCTATGGTCAGCTGTACACGTCATCGTTGGAGCCGCACGCAAGTGTGAGTAACGATCCAAGAGCGAGTCTTATCCGACATTATTCCGATTATATCCCGGACGTCAGTCTGAGCGAGATTAGAATGGCTCTGCAGCATCTTAAAAACGGCAAGGCCCCAGGCGAGGATGAAATTACAGCGGGGCTTCTGAAAGCGGTTGGGAAACCGGTACTGGAAGTCCTTCAGAGGCTCTTTAATTCCGTCCTCAATGGTGGCATTACATCGGAGGCGTGGAACAGAAGTGCGGTCTGTCTGCAGTCTTATTCTTCAAGAAAGGTGACAATGCTCTCTTGAAGAACTACAGACCGATTTCCCTTCTGAGCCGCGTCTACGTGCTGTTTGCGAGAGTCATTACGAATCGTCTCGCACGCAGACTTGACGACTTCCAGCCTCCCGCACAAGCCGATTTCCTAAAGGGCTTTAGCACCATAGATCACATACATACACTTCGGCAAGTTGTACAGAAGTCCGAGGAGTACAATTTGCCACTATGCCTGGCATATGTGGACTATGAGAAAGCCTTTGATTCCGTCGAAATTTGACGGTGCCAAGTTGACTGTCGGTATATCGAAGTGCTGAAGTGCTTGTACAGTAGGGCTACGATGGCTATCCGAGTACAGAACCAGAGTACGAAACCTATCCAATTGCAGAGGGGTGTAAGACAGGGTGACGTTATATCCCCGAAACTCTTCACCGCTGCATTGGAAGACGTGTTCAAGCTTCTGGACTGGAAAGGATACGGTATTAACATCAATGGCGAGTACATCACTCACCTTCGATTTGCCGACGATATAGTGTTTATGGCAGAATCGCTGGAGGACCTAAGCACTATACTCAATGACCTCAATAGTGTCTCCCAACGGATAGGTCTTAAGATGAACATGGACAAAACAAAGATTATGTTTAATGTCCATGTCACACCTATGCCGGTAGTTGTTGGGAGTACTAAGCTCGAAGTTGTTGACGAGTATGTTTATCTGGGACAAATAGTCCGACTAGGTAAGTCCAACTTCGACCGAGAGGTCAATCGACGGATTCAGCTCGGCTGGGCAGCGTTCGGGAAGCTACGATACATCTTCTCGTCAGACATACCTCAAAACCTTAAAACGAAATTGTTCAACGAGTTCGTGTTTCCAGTGATGACTTACGGATCTGAGACGTGGTCCTTCACTGCTGGCCGTATGAGGAAGCTCAAGGTCGCTCAGCGAGCTATGGAGAGGGCTATGCTCAGAGTTTCTCTGCGTGATAAACTTAGGAATGAGGATATCCGCAGCAGAACCAGAGTAACCGACATAGCCCAAAGGATTAGTAAGCTGAAGTGGAGTGGGCCGGCCATATAGCTCGAAGAACCGACAACCGATGGGGAAGAAAGGTTCTTGAGTGGCAGCCTCGTACCGGTAGGCGAAGTGTAGGGCGACCCCCCTCGAGATGGAGTGACGACCTGATAAGACTTGTAGGAAGTCGATGGATGCAGGTGGCTCAGGAGCGTGCTTTGTGGCATTCCTTGGGGGAGGCCTATGTTCAGCAGAGGACTTATGAAAGGCTGTAATGATGATGAATGATGAAAATTTACTAGAATCTACATGTGACGTTTGCTAATTTTGAGTACATTACCTATGTCTGTTTTATGGTGCATGTAGATACATAAATAGAATCCAAAGAGATGGAGCTGCGCTAGTACCAAAGAGTATAGTAAATGTCCCATACAGGAACTATAGTGCGCGCAATATAACTCTGCGCGCGGCCAAAATTAGAACTAATCGTGTGCCGCCATCTTACTGTTTATGGCAAGTGTCTCAACAGAGTGGTAGGTGTTGTGTTTTTATTCGTTTTTGCAGTAATTAATAGTTATCATTATGCCGAAAGTGATTAAAAGTGCTGGCAGGGATGTTATTTTGAAGGTCAAACGTGCTTGTGAAGAAGAACGAGACAATAACGGGCCTATAGTACCGTTTTGCAAAGTTAGAGCCCGCGTTGCATATTTAACTGGTAATTTTTAGGGATGCCATAACAATAAAATTCTCCAATTTTCTCTATTTGTACCTTTTTAATTTCCTCGTGTCATTAATATCATGTATTTATAATGCATTGTTTTTATTTTGTTTTAGATGTTTCTGAACGCACCGTCACCCAGATAGTCAAGAGGGTAATATCTATCTTCATCTTCTAAAATTGTGACGCAGGGAAAAACTAGGAACCGGAGGAAAAAAATTTATGATTTAGACGATTTCGATATGTGCGCTATAAGGCATTTAATTCAATCGTTTTACGTCGTGAAGGAGGAGATTCCTACCATAAATAAACTTTGGTGGAATTGAAAACTGATATTGGTTTTAAATATGGCAGAACATCATTTAGGAGTATTTTAAAGACTGGGCTACAAATACAAAAGGTGCCAGTCTAAACGAAAAGTATTGGTAGAACGCAGTGATATTGCAGCTTGGAGAGCAAAATATATTCTAAGGTTGCACGAGAATCGTCAGGAAGAAAATCGACCGGTCATTTATGTTGACGAAACGTATATACATGCTTCATACCACCTTCAAAAATGTTGGCAATCGGAGGAACAGCCTGGTATTCTTGCTTCTGATAGCGTCGGTGTAAGATGGACAATAGCAGAATGGTGGAGGTAAAACTGGGTTTGTTGAAAACGGACTGCTGCTGTTCAGGTCTAACTCCAAATCGAATGACTATTTCATGTGGTGGATGAAAGAAAAGATTGTGCCGAATCTTCCAACGAATTGCATTGTAGTGATGGATAATGCGTCATACCACTGCATACAGATCAACAAGGCGCCTACAATTGGCAATACAAAGGCAGAGCTCCAAGGATGACTTACGGGAAATGGTATTAAATTTGAAGATTGTTGGACAAAAGCGCAATTATACGAATTAATTAAAAAACACAAAGGAGACGCACAGTACGAAATAGAACAAATTTTAAATGAATATGGACATGAGGTTCTTCGTTTGCCGCCTTACCACTTGCGATTTAAATCCCATAGAAAAAATTTGGCTAATAGTAAAGAGACGCATTGCAGAGAAAAATATCACACAAGCTCCTAGCGAAATAGCTGCTATTACTGAGGCGGCGTTTAGAACAGTAACGACAGTAGAATGGTTCAACGTATGCCTACATTTAGAAAAAATTGAAGATAAATATTTCCAATCAGATAGGCTGATTTATATGGAAATGGATAAATTTGTAATTAATGTTACAGGTGACACATCCGAGTCATCTGATGAAGACTCTAGCATAGATTCTGATGAAGATATGCGAATGGATGGCGTTGATCCACTGCAGGACCATTGTTACACCAAATTTATAAATAATACTAGGTGTTCAATAAAAGATTTACAAGGTTTCCTTGTACTTTTTATTTGTTCTTTATAATAAATATTATAATGCTATTTCAGTTGTTTCAAAATACGTCTTTGGAAAAATTAATTATAGACAAAATATCAGTAGTCATTAATCTTAGTATTAGTACTTTTTATACACGCATATAATGGGTACAAAAGGTAAAAAAAATTGTAGTTGTGTAGTTAAACTTGTACAGTGTAGTGTCAAACTTACGAAAGTTAGAATCAAGAAATATGTTTATTATGCGGCTTAAACAATAAATGTAGGGTTCAAAAATTATTAGGTCTTTGTAAGTTAAAGCTGAACATTACAGTTTTTTTTAACTGAGCTTTAGTAACCAATTAGGTAATTTATGTAATTTAATATAATTATACAATTCTAGTAATAAGATTAAACGAAGGAAAAAAATATTAGTTAAGCTGGCAACATTAAGCACGCCACCAGTCGCACGCAGAGTTATCTTGCGCGAACTCTAGTACTCATAGATAATACACTATCTAGTACTTCTTATCACAGATTAGTAAGACGCATCTTCTTATTAATTTTGAGAATGGAGCCTTTACTCCATTATTTTGTTGTGTTGACATTTGATCATTTGAATTTGACATTTGACAATCGATTGACAAATTGACATTGACTGACTTTTGAGAAAATGGCTGGTGCTCTGACGAGAGTAATTCAAGGATCTAAATCACATTTGGGTAAAATAATAATTACTATATTATTAATTATACCACTGTTACAACCGCTATAAATTTTTACAGATCTTATAAAACTCCAGATACATTTATATTTATTTTTTACAATACGACGTCAAATTGCTTACATAATTTTGACGTCTTGTTGCAGGCATCGTAGGCCCATTAGTGAACATCAACAATGGATCAGTCCGTTACCAGCAAACTAAGACGAAATTTGGGCCCTTGGCAGACAGCGATCGAATCTTTACAAATCTTTACGGTCGGCATGATTGGCGATTGAAAGGCGCCCTCAAACGTGGAGATTGGTATAAGACAAAAGAAATCCTCTTAAAAGGAACTGATTGGATTGTCAGTGAGTATTTATTAGGCATATTACCGGATTCTTCTAATAACAAATTAAAGAAGAATTTTCAACATGATTCTTCAGTTACCAAAACAAATTTATACAAACTGTTACATTTGCTTATTAATTTTTAAAACAGCCTTGATTGTACTTAGTTATAACTTTGGCATGTAATGTACTGTCTTTTTTTTATAATATTAGTGTTTTTACGTGGTAGAGCCATGCTGCAGCTATATTAGTAGTATAGTTTTAGCACAAATGGATCTGCTCGACTGGACAGCGTAAAATAGCAGCTAAACACTGTTGTGGTTTGTATGGTAAGTGTAGAGAACCGGAAACCCTTTTTACTGGAAAAGAGGCATTCCATCTTAGTCTTCAAAAGTGACAACGCAAGCATCTACATTTTGATTCTTTATTGAGGATAGATGTGGATGTCTATGGTTCACAGCAACTACTTACCATCATGTGGACTGTGTGCTCGTTCATCACCCTATCCTATAAAAAAAGACAAACAAACTTATAGTCACCTGAATGTTTGTTACTACTGTAAGCCATAGGCATAGGCTAAAACTTTAGTTTTTTAACATACATTTTTTTTCTAATATGTAATAAACGTTACCCCCACACTAGGATTTTCTCCTGTATCGTGGAAGCAGTTTACAAACATGAAGTGCACAAGGACAAACATCCAGACCTGGAACAATTATTTGTAGGCCATACAAATACTTGTTCCGTGCGGGATTCGAACCCGCAACCCCCAGCACCGGAACTCATTGCTAAGCCACTGCACCACGGTTAAATTATTAAATAATTTAATACAAAAACAATAAACTCAGTTTTATAACTAAAGAACTATTGAATCAATACAGAAAAAAAATAACCCATTTGTGCTAAGTTAGCCACTGACAATGTGATGTTGAAGTGAAGGGGGTTTTTCTAATTCTTATTTACTAATATTTATTTTTATTTGTCAATAAAAATCAATGTGCTTTGGTACAATTAACTATATATAGACACATTAACTATATTTTATGTTGATGTTCAAAGTTTCAACATGAGATATCTCACTGTCACTGGAACTTGTTTCCACATCACTCTCTGAGTTTACCCTACTGAAATTATGAGTTCCCTTTTCTGTATTTCCTGCAATCTATTGCTTTCCCAACCTATCAACGTGATTAATTTATCTCTTCCAAGTAGAAATACTTCTTAAGCAAGTTAACATTTCATAATCTTTATCACCATCATATGTGAATCACTTTGTAAAGGCTTTCCTTTACCCATAGTTCTAAAACAGAAAAAACTAAAGAAATCGGAAGAATATTAACCTTTAACTGGTGACGTGATTTTTTCGTAACATAACTGGTGACGAGCGGCCTGACAGGCCGCTGCTATATCTGGTCTATAATACGTATATTAAATATGGTAGGTTATTCTGATGTATATTTTGTATTAAATTATATACTAAAGCAAAAATTAAAACAACTTCATGTGTCTAAATATAATTTTTAATAATGTACTGTGTATGTAATTTGTTTTTGGTCTCTATAATCATAAAACTAGGCTCAAGATCAACAATCGCTTATAAAATAATAAAAATCAACATAATTATAACATATATATATATATATTTTATTAAAGTTCAAACACTAATCAACTTAAAAAAAATTAAACTCTTATCACAAGTGTCGATGTATCGAAAATGACAAATGTCAAACTTTAGTATTTTATTGACAGTTAGGGCATAATTGCTTCGCACACTGCAAACACACATATTTTTCGCATGACATCATTGGTAATTCGATTTACGGTTGAATTTAGGAGGACAACTAGCACAGGTTTTCCGTGTTTTCAGTCTGTTTTCAGGATTTTGTATAGTAGCAGCATAAGATAATTCACTACTCTAATATGTTTTGCTAGGATAAATAGGTGACAGAGGAAAATACTCAAAATACATAAGAACTCAATATAACAAATAACTATGGTTGCTTTTTTTTATATTGGTTAGTTATTTGTTATATTTTCCTACGTGGTAGAGCCATGCTGCAGCTATATTAGTAGTATAGTTGTAGCATGAATGGGTCGGCTCGACCGGGGAAGGACCACGCTCTCACAGAATACCAGCGTAAAATAGCAGTTTAACACTGCTGTGTTTCGTATGGTGAGTGTAGAGAACCGGAGACCCTTTTTACTGGAAAAGAGGCATTCCATCTTAGTCCTCACGGGTGACAACGCATCTGCATTTTGATTCGCAAACGAGGATAAATATAGATGTCTATGGGCCACAGCAACCACTTACCATCAGGTGGACTGTGTGTTCATTTGTCACCCGATCCTATAAAAAAAATATTGGTGTATCTATCTGCCCACCAAATGTGGCACGTTAGCATGGTAACTATGGTAAATATCACCTCTATGAGGTACTTTATGAGAATGGGGGTCCATAGGCAGATTCGAGGTGGCCTATGTTTAGCAGTAGGCTTTTGTTAGGCTGTGAAAATGTAATGATGAAAAAGAATAGTTCCTAAATCTGGTGACCAATTAGGGCTTTCAGTATGCTGGGACTAGTTTGCTGTCTAAAATGACCTGGTAAGGAGAAATCTCTAATATTATTGAGAACGTGTTCATTTGTTTATATATATCTCTATTTTTTATAGTATTTTAAATATAAGATGATTATGACCTTAAAACTATTAACTTTCATTTATAGATGAACTCAAAACATCTGGACTACGTGGTCGCGGTGGCGCCGGCTTTCCTACTGGCATGAAATGGTCATTCATGAACAAACCCTCAGATGGTAGACCTAAATATCTGGTAGTGAACGCTGACGAGGGAGAGCCAGGCACTTGTAAAGATCGTGAGATTATGCGCCATGATCCTCACAAGCTGATAGAGGGTTGTTTAATAGCCGGCCGTGCAATGGGTGCACAGGCTGCATACATTTATATAAGAGGAGAGTTTTACAATGAAGCTAGTAATCTTCAAGTTGCAATTGCTGAGGTTAGAAACAATTTTATATGTAAAGTTTTATTGAATTACTAACCAATATTTAAATGAGCCACCAACTGACAGTATGGTATTTTAAAACATTTTTTGAGTACAACCATGGGGCTGCAAAAAGCTCGGAATATTGGTATTTAAAATAAGTCAAAATCGACATTTATTTAGCACAATAGTATTCCGCTATTGTGAAAATATAAAAAATAATATAAAATGAGTTGAAGGTGCCGATTATAGAACACTTTCATATGTGTAATATTAATTTGTAGAAAGTTATAGTTGTATGTCCCACTGCTGGACACAACCTCCTCTCATATTTTTTGAGAGGTTTCTAGGTTAATTTCCGCAGCGCTGCCCCAATGTAATGGAATTGTTTTTTTTATTTCTCAGATATGATGATTCCCTCATGATTTTTCTATCACAGGCAAATACTTGGTAAATTAACACATAAAAATGCTATTCATTGGTGCCAGCGGAGGACGAACCCGGTTACCGCGCGTATTGTGAAATTTATGGCGGGTGCATCGCCCCTGAGCTACCACAGCTCTGTAAATTCAAAAAGATTCTATTACTATTATCGCTGTGTTGCTGTTATATCTCTGTATTATTCGCCTGCATGTGAGAATCCACTATCCCATATCATTATGTGGGTGTCGTAAAAGGCGACACAGGGATATGAAACAATAGATTCCTAACAACAACTGAAAGTAATAAAAAACTTCGGTTGTCAACCCACCAGCCATAATATTAAGACATAAACCTTACTATACCTAGCATTTCGTACCTTTGACGCTGTTTTAGCTGTTAAAGTTGGCATAAATGGGATGTATTATATTATGTCATATTTAGGAACTCTTTCTTGCATTTTCCACAATCGCTTCTGATGAGTTCCAGAGTCAGAATGAAACTGGGAAATGGATTCTATTATCTTTTTTATTTTTTCAAGGCTTATCAAGCTGGCCTAATTGGCCGTAACGCATGTGGCTCGGGTTACGATTTTGATGTGTTTGTGCATCGTGGCGCGGGCGCGTACATCTGTGGCGAGGAAACCGCGCTCATTGAGTCCATTGAAGGCAAACAGGGCAAGCCGCGTCTCAAGCCACCTTTCCCTGCTGATGTAGGACTCTTTGGATGCCCCACCACTGTGAACAATGTTGAGACCATCGCTGTTTCACCTGTAAGTGACTTTTCTATTATTTATATCAATATTGCTTGTAATTATTCTTTTTTTTTTGTCCTTATTATAAGCCAGTGCTTGACCACAATACCACCTAGTGTTAAGTGGTGATGAAGATCTAAATGGAAAATTCCTATCAGGGCAATTCCATATGTGACTGACTCTACATTTGACACAATTGGTGTATTGTTTTGTCTTATATTACGATTAGTACTATGTTTTTAGTTTCAATTTAAACATGTATTTGTAGCAGTTTCAACAATTTTGAAATATCATATATTTAGTAAAATATAAATGTGACTGACACTATAGGAAAAAATACTTATTTTCATGATATTGAAGAAATTTTACTGTCGTTAGAGAGAAAAGTAATGTCTATTCTGTGACCGACACTACACCTTGACACTGTGATTTTAAAAACCTAATATATCTTAAAAAAATAAAATTTCTATGATGAATTACAAAGTTTTTATCGATATGTCATCGTTTGAACAGTGAGTATATAACGAAATATAACAATAATTCAAAAGACTTACCGTGAAAATTTAACCACAAAAAACCACTATCAACTGAGCTCACTATGCCATCTCGTCAATGACAGTTTTGCCAGAAAAAAATTTTAAAAAATTGTTGCCACTATAAAAACTTAAAAGTAACATAATGTTGTCACCATACTTAAGTATTTTTACTACCAAAATCAGATATTAATTTTTTCATTTATAGTAGACTTATGCGTGGAATTGCCCATCAGTGAAATATTTGTCAATATTACAGAAAACAACTGTGAGTATAATTACAGAACTATATTAATTGTAATAAAAGAGTAAAATTGTTGAAATTGATGCCTATTTTGAGAAAAATTATTATTTACAAAAACTAAGTTCAAAATAAATGCTGAAAGTCGATGGAATTTATTCATATCCAATAAGCAAATTAACGTTGTTTGATATGGAAAGTCAAAAAAAATATTGTATTCCTTATTTACAATTTACATGTAGAGAAGGCGTGGGCGTGTGTGTAGTAGCGACGGGCATAAGCGAATCTATAAAGTTAATAGATAGCATATTTTGCGTACCACATATCATCTTGTGGGTATCGTAAGAGGCTACTGAGAGTTACGAACTAGGAGATAGGCAGCAGCGTCTTCCTAATAGCAACTTTTAAATAAAGAAAATGCTATTGCCAACCCGTCTGCCAAGCGTGATAACTATAGAAAATATATCCACCTAGGTGGCAAACTATGGGGAAGGCAAATATTGAGCAGTGAACCCTGTTTTACACCTCTCTGCAGTTGGATCTGTTCTATACTCGAATGCCAACACTGCCCTACTTTACAAACACTTCAGCTCTTCGATATACCGACAGTTGGCACCCCTGAAGAGACTAAAGCAATACCAAAATTTCTACATAATCAATGGATCTCATATCCACATACGAAACACTAAGTAGTACATTGTACACTTCTATCTTCTGTAGTCTGTACAATTTGCCGGGGGGTATGTATGTGATCTATGATACTAAAACCATTTCGTAAACCAGCTTGCTTATAATACAGCTGTTCATTCTGATCATGTGTATACCTGTCATGTGGAGATCAGTTTGTTTATCTGTTGTATCTGTAATATCTGTTGAAGACTGCTGCTTAATTTTCTGTCTAACCGCTATGATATTAAGGGTGTGATGTGAGAGTTGCAGCGGGTTTTACAGAACTTAGCTCCGACAGCATGGACGTCTTCTAGGAAATTACAAAGTATGACAATAGAACCCCAAAAACGAGTTATTTGTCATTTATTTCTATTTTACAGACAATTTGCCGTCGTGGCGGCTCCTGGTTCGCGTCTTTCGGCCGCCCACGTAACTCTGGCACAAAGCTTTTCAACATTTCTGGTCATGTGAACACACCGTGTACGGTTGAGGAGGAAATGAGCATTCCTCTTAAGGAGCTCATTGAGAGACATGCTGGTGGAGTCACCGGTGGTTGGGACAATCTGCTTGCTATTATACCTGGCGGGTCATCCACTCCATTGATACCTAAAGAGTAAGTTTAACTTGTAAGCGTAGTCCATAGAAATGTAATATTACCTTCCTTACACCCAAAACTTTACAAACCCAAACAGAAGTGGGATAATAGTTTCTGGTCTGACTGCCCAACCTGCTAAGCCCCCACAGGCTAGTTCGTCAGTGGCATCATTGCCTCAGAACAACTATGGCCTTTTATCCACTGAATGTTGTTATTTTCTTCATCTACCCTGATTAAAGAGTTGGAAGTATTCATTAGATTGGCCTTAGTTCATAATATTATTATTCAGGGCTGTCCTACTGTCTGGCTGTTGTAGAGTATATGAGTATACTAGTTCTTTACTTCTCTAACTTTGTGAGCTGTGGTAGCTCAGGGACTTAGTGTTTGATGTAAATTTCACAGAATGTGAGCAACCTGGGTTGGTCTCCGCTGATACCAATGAAATTGTTAATTGCAATTTTAAGTGCTGAATTACCATGTGCTTGGCGTTGAAGGAAAACATCGTGAGGAAAAGAAAATATTTTGAAGACATGTGAAGTTCGCCAACACGCATTAGGGTAGCGCGGCGGACATTTCCTTGCCCTAAAACCCTCTCAGAAATGGGAAAAGGCCTGTGTCCAGCAATGGGGTATATAAGCTGTAACTTTAACTAAGCTGTGTTTGCTGAAACCGCTTGGATGATAAGATGACAACCGATACATTAAGCTTGAAAGACTGAATTTTGGGAAACTTCCATCTCAGTTCTTTTGTTTGTTCATAAGCTATTATGAAAAGATTGGGTCAAGCGATATTTCCTGTATAAGTTAAGCTCGATAACTCTCTCGGAAATGAGAGACGGCCTTGGTTGGTGGTAGTAGTATATAGACCTGCAACTTTTTTTTTCAGCGTGTGTTCGACTGTGATGATGGACTTCGATGCTCTAGTCGCGGCGCAGACGTCGCTGGGCACGGCCGCCATCATCGTGATGGACCGTTCCACCGACATCGTGAAAGCTATTGCACGACTCATAATGTTCTACAAGCACGAGTCCTGCGGGCAATGCACCCCATGTCGAGAGGGAGTCTCCTGGATGAACAAGATCATTTACAGGTGTTTTTTTTTTACTTATTATTAGCTGATGTTTAAGTAAGTAGTAATGAAGCCTTAGGTGGTACATTGCATTATTTTAGTGAAACAAATGCCTATTTACCTTGCCTTGAAGACATTGGTAAACAATGGCACATGGTGAAGACTCAATCCAAAGAGGAATCCATGACCCACAGAATTCCTCATGAGGTACACATCATTCCTAGTATGAGGGTCTATACCCTCATATTGGGAATATGGAGAAATATTTCAAGTAGTTAGTTTATTTTATAAAGTTGACACTTTGAATAATATATTATTTTTGGCCCGTAAGTTTGTGACAGTTAAGGTCCGTCATATATATTTATTTTATCATCCATCCGTCCATGACAACCTATAAAAGTCTACAGCTGAACATACATGGGATTCCCCATAGGGGAGGTTTTGCCATAGTTTTCAGCAGTTTTTTATAATTTTCACTTGTTACCCGGAAGATTATTTTATGCTAATTTCATATTAGTATATAAGTATACATTGCCATACATTCTTGGGTTTATGAAATTTATCATAATATGTTGATGCATAGATATTGCTATGTTTTTGGAAGATTTTGATGATCAGTAGTATTTTAATTCTTTAAATATATTTTTATTGCTTTTAGATTCGTTGAAGGAAATGCTTCACCTAAAGAAATTGACATGCTGTGGGAAATCTCTAAGCAAATTGAAGGTTTGTGCCTTATAATTTATATTTTTTTGAAGTACAGAAAATTATATGGCCGATTACATTGACCTAATAAATAATAAATGACCTAAAAGACCTAAAAAATACTAAATGGACGACGGCGAGTCTAGAAAAAATTTACGAAAAATGTGTCAACCTACATAAGCGTAGGTACATTTATAGAAATATAAAAAAAATTACAGCCTATTAACTTCAACTAGAAGTTGCACTGTTTTCACCATGAAGCAAATACAAAGAGGAGACGTTGTAATTCAATTTCACTATGAAACAACGCGTGACAATTTGCGGGGTGAGGGGATGCAAAGCCCCGCCCACTACACTATCTACATCTACCGATAAATAGTTAAACTACTCGAATCTTTCCATATCAATGTTGCAATGTAGCTTAGCTACCTTGACGGTAGATGGCAGCATATCCACAAAATGTTATAAACTAAAAAATAATATTTTGGCGATTAAAATTTCTTTATGTCTGAATGCAAAACAAATTTTAGCACCTTCGTATGATTATTTTATCGTTACTGAGCTCTACGTACCTTCATATTTTTAGTTCACAGGACACAAAGTGTCGCGCACAGGACGAATGCTGACAGTAAAATAACTAAAGCCACGCCCACTATGATGACGTCAGGACCTACTTAGAATCACAGTGCACAGTTGCTTATGCCGTCTCCCCTTTGTATTAGCTTCATGGTTTTCACCTTAAGCAGCTTCTAGCGAAAATAATCGGTGTGGTTTATGTTTTACAATTAATATGAATTTAAATTGTAATATGTATCTAAGCAAAATATTACTTTTAAATTGTTAAATATTAATAGTCCTTATCGAAATTATATATAAATATAAATATGCTCGTTTTCACAATACAGAAACGGCATTTTGAACGTGTATTAAGCCGGTCGACAAACCGAAGACTGGTGTGTGATTGGAGCTCTTATTGCATTTTGGAACTCTTGGCTCGGACACTTGTGAACGCGGACGCGTAGTCCATTTCGTAGTAGCTCGATGGCCGGTTACTATTTTCAAGTAATATTTTGTTATTTGCTAAGATTATTTGTGTTAAGGGAAAAACTTAAACTTATTCCATTTTATTACAAAAAAATAATTTTATTCCAACCGAGTATTGCGGAACACTCGGTTAGAACGAAGTTCCTTTCTATTGATAAACGTATTATATTATTGATTAAAAAATACAAATAAATTAATTACTAGCGTCTATTAAAATGAAGCGTTATTTAAAATAAAATAATACTTCTTTCACGGTAAGATAAGAAAAAGTGCGAGGGAGATGGATATATTCCTTCTCGCTTCCTTATAGCTGCCAAGGCCGTCTACACTAAGTCAGAAAGGTCGTGATAGAAAAATCTTAAACTTTTTCTCGCCCCCGTCCTCCAAATTCGTACCGTTTGATAAGCAACTTCGTTGCAAAAGTAGTTTATAGTCTCAGGTTTAAATTCCTGAAGGCCTGCGAAAAAAAAGACTTCTGTGTATATTACTAGTTATAGTATTTCAGTAGTAAGTTAGATACTTAATTCAAACTTGCTGATACTCGCGATTCGTCCGCGTTGCTTGATATATCAAGAAAACACACATCACTGAACACATAGTACTTATAAAAATTGTTGTTTTTTAAAACTTTAATAACATTATACTAAATGAAGATATAGCAATATTTTTTTTGTAGATAAGGGCCAAGTCTCTTAAGAAATAAAACTTAAAAAGCTTAATTGAAGTATATCCAGTAGTTTTTCCGTTATGCGCGCACAACTGCAAACCTCTACCATTTTATTTATGTAGATAAATTAGATAAACTTTAAATCTAGTTGAAAAAGTGCGCACGTAAATAATGACAGTGTTTTCTTAGTCACATTAAACAAAATCTGTGTTATATCGTCGAAGACGATGTTCGAAGAAGTTGTGGAGAATTGACCGTATTTTAATGTACGAGTATAATAAGTACCGTAGTGTCCATTTAGTGGTATACACACACACACACACACACACACACACACACACACACACATACACACACGCATATATATATATATATATATATATATGTATATATATATATATATATATATATATGTATATATATATATATATATATATATATATATATATATACACTATAATCTAACAAAAATGAAACGAAGAATGGCCGGTCTGGAGGACATATTAAAAAAATTATGTATGTAATTGTGTACACATGTACGAAGTGAATACTTCTTTGCGAGATATCACTTTACATTTTACATTAGTTAGTTAGTTAATAGTATATTCACGTAGCTCTGCGACGATACAAGAAAATGTGACTTTTTTTTAAAAACCGTTCTAAATTTCTCCACTACGTCAATAAAGAAGTTTAATTTTAAAAATAATACAATTGTTGCTTAATTAACATGAGATGTTACAACGCGTGTGCGACGTACTGCAGGGCACACGATCTGCGCGCTGGGCGACGGCGCGGCGTGGCCGGTGCAGGGGCTCATCCGCCACTTCCGGCCCGAGCTCGAGCGCCGCATGGCGCAGCACGCCGCCGCGCACGGGCCCAGCCGCGCCGAGCGCCTCTACTGACCGCGCCCCGACCACCCCGCTAGGCTCTAGTCGTCCCTACAACTGGAAACAAGGCGCCGAACAACGCGCCGAGTGTCCCTATTGACCACCACACCCGCACACACGTAGGGCCGACCAACCCCAAATAGAACCCAATCACTCGACATAGATCCTAGTTATCCCTACTAAACCCCTGCCAACCTTCCCTCACTAACCCTAAATGGGTTCGGGCGCTGACCGAATTTACTAAGTACAACAACCACACCCAGGCATGGCCAGCCCACTCCCGTAGTCCCACGTCATCCCTATAACTTAAACAAGACCCCCACCCCAAACAACCGCACAGAACGTCTGTACTGAGCATACTAGCTACACACATACGCAAGGCCAAACCACCCCACATAGACCCTAATTATCCCTATAACTTACTTAAAATAGCCCCCTCAAATGCAGTTAATTTATCCTCACAGATCACTTTAAAAACGAACCCCGAACCACCTCAACAGAACACATTCACCCCAATAAGTTTCAACCACACAAGAAAAATGCAGATAAAACTGTAATAAAAAAATCTGACCACCAATAAAACTAGGCCCAGACAACCTACAAGACAACCTACATATATTAAGGCCCTTTATTACGTGTGTACTGTGTTAGGGCATTGTGATCTCCGTTAGAAAAACTTGGCTCTAATACAGTACCGATTTAAGTTTGACATAGCACTTGTAATTGGTACGCTACAATCCGCCAGTACAATCCGACAGATCCGCGTGGCTCTACCATTAACAGTGGTAGAGCCACGCGGCAGCTTTTGCTGTCGCGCGGATGGGCCGGCTCGAACCGGGGTAGTACCACGACCTCACAGAAAACCAGCGTGAAGTAGAAGTTTACCTCTGCGTTTCGCTTGGTGAGTGCAGGTGGCCGGAGGCCCTTTTTACTGGAAATGAGGCATTCCATCTTAGTCCTCACGGGTGACAACGCATCTACATTTTGATTTGTAACATAGGATAGATGTAGATGTCTATGGGCCGCAGCAACCACTTACCATCAGGTGGACTGTGTGCTCGTTTGTCACCCTTATCCTATAAAAAAAATTTTTAGTTCCATTTACAAAACTCGGTTTAATTAATTGAGTAATATAGTATTATACTTAAAGTATGGAGTCAATAAAAGGGCATAGGAAATTATCATTAACAAAGCAATTTTTCCAGTAAAGTGATCACTTATTATAATTTAAATATTTTGTTTATATTATAATAAAGTCTAAACATACATTCGTGTTTAACGCAAGATTACATTCAACAATAATTCATTACTTTGAGAACTGTAGTGACTAGTGGCCATTGAAAAATGTGTAAAATATTTCTTAGTGGTAAATACATTAGATATTTATTTTTGTGGTTTTAAGGCTACAATAGTATCGATAATATTGTTGACTTCTTTCTGAATAAAATATGTATCATATTATGGTGACTATTTATTTACGATTAGCCCATTTCATATATATTTTGTGTCCATTAAAATAGCCTATGACTGTATTCCGCAAAAACCCATAACTCTCAGGAGTAACACGCGCTTGAGGCGTCTGTAGTATGAAATGATATTTAAAACCTATATATTATAATAAATTGATTTTGCATTTTGCAGCGCCAAATTAATAACGATCACCCCCTCCCCTCTCTTCCCCACAACTACAACGAAATTCTAAAGCTCTAAAGGGACTATAGCAGAACTCAGTTGTCAATGACAACATAATTTTGATATTCAAAACGCTAGTGAATTTATAGAAAATTCGAGAAACTAACAGTAATTTAAGCACCTCGATTTATTAGTATTTGTTAATAGTTGTTTTAAAGGACAACTGGTATGAGATGTGATTATAAAATTGTTGCGAACTTATTAATACTTTCCGTATTATGTAATATTGCGTAATATTTTATTAATATTTTGAAATTTTTAAACATTTTACACCAATTTCCTTGCGTTCTTAGATTAAAGAAAATGTGTGTGTAATATTATGATATTACCTCTCCCTCAATGTTTTGCCTTCAGAATCAGAAGTGATTTATGAAATTTTTATCAAATTAAAATAAAACTGGTGATATTAGTTGTTTAATAAGTATTTATATGAAAAACCTTGAAACTATACTTATTATAATGATATTATGTACTTCACTAAGTTTTTACTTACTCGTATAGCTGCGGGTGATTTTAGACAGTTTTTGTTTTAACAGTTATAAATAAAATATTGGATTATAATTTTCTTTTATTTATTTATAAATAACTTATTTTGGCGGATTGGTTTCTTGATTGCTTTGCGGTCCATGGTTACCTTTTTTTTAATTAACGAAGTCTAAACACTTGGAATATTATTCACTGCAGTTCATTACACTACTAAACACACCACCTAGAGACTGCCACGAACCACAGTCCTAAGCAACCTGCAATCGACCTTCCATCTAGTGCGGTCATCTTAATACTTCATTTTCTAGTTTGAGGTCAATTCGATTATGTTTGTTTCATTACCATCGGTTGTTGATTCTCTGAGATACAATATGGTCGCCTCAATGGTACTTCATTTCTTCATTTTATATATTCTTGTCAGTTAATCCGTTTCGGTGGATATTCCCATTATGAAATTTCATTAATTTTATCATGCAGAAAAACAGTGACGTGCCCGACACCTGGCCTGACGTTAAATAATCAGAGCCCCGACAAAAAGGAGAAAGATTCCAGACAGTCTGTGAATCTTTCATCATTAAAGCGCCTGCCTGCCATATTCATTAAAGTTGATTGTTCTAAGGTGGTACTTGTCAACAGTAGACTATTTTACTGGCCGATTTTACATCATCATCGTCACAGCGTCTCACAAATCACTACTGAACATAGACCTCACATGCATGACCCCTAGTTGTACCCAGAGGTAATACCAATTACAACACACGGGCTTAGAATATACCTACATAATAGCTTGCTTAAGTATACTCTAATCTCACGGTCCATTGCTATTGCCACAGAAAAGAAAAGTGTTTGTTTTTCTGTTCTGTGGCTACATATTTATTTAGTAAAGTGATCCATTGGGTTGTGTGGTAGCCTATGATATATATATGTATATATGTATATAAATTCATTATTCTGCTATGTGATAGAATATATTTTTCGAAATTATGGGGATTTTTTTTTAGTTATAATATGTACTTTTATTTATTTTGTGGTTATATTAGGTCCTTACATAATATGAAATTAGCGTTTTGTTGTACTGATCTTTTTGATCTGAATTATCTCTTTGGTTCATCATCATCATCATTACAGCCCTTCACAAGTCCACTGCTGAACATAGGCCTCCCCCAAGGAATGCCACAAAGCACGGTCCTGAGCCACCTGCATCCATCGACTTCCTGCATGTCTTACCAGGTTCGTCACTCCATCTAGTGGGGGGACGCCCTACACTTCGTCCGCCGGTACGAGGCCGCCACTCGAGAACCTTTTTTCCCCATCGCCCATCGGTTGTCGGTTCTTCGAGCTATATGGCCGGCCCATTGCCACTTCAGCTTACTAATCTTTTGAGCTATGTCGGTCACTCTGGTTCTACTGCGGATATCCCCATTTCTAAATTAATCACGCAGAGAAACTCCGAGCATAGCCCTCTCCATAGCTCGCTGAGTGACCTTGAGCTTCCTCATCCGGCCAGCAGTGAAGAACCACGTCTCAGTTCCATAAGTCATCACTGGCAACACGCACTGGTTGTACAGTCTCGTTTTTAAGTTTAAACATACTCGTCAACAACTTCGAGCTTAGTGCTCCCAACAACTACCGGCATAGGTGTGACATGGACATTAAACATGATCTTTGTTTTGTCCATGTTCATCTTAAGACCTATCCGTTGGGAAACACTATTGAAGTCATTGAGCATAGTGCTTAGGTCCTCCAGCGATTCTGCCATAAGGACTATCGTCGGCAAATCGAAGGTGAGTGATGTACTCGCCATTGATGTTAATACCGTATCCTTTCCAGTCCAGAAGCTTGAACACGTCTTCCAATGCAGCGGTGAAGAGTTTCGGGGATATAACGTCACCCTGTCTTACACCTCTCTGCAATTGGATAGGTTTCGTACTCTGGTTCTGTACTCGACTAGCCATCGTAGCTCTACTGTACAATTACTTCAGCACTTCGATATACCGACAGTCAACTTGGCACCTCTGAAGGGACTCCAGCACCGCCCAAATTTCGACGGAATCAAAGGCTTTCTCATAGTTACATTCGCCGGACATAGTGGCAAATTGTACTCCTCGGACTTCTGTACAATTTGCCGAAGGGTATGTATGTGGTCTATGGTGCTAAAGCCCTTTCGGAAACCGGCTTGTTCGGGAGGCTGGAAGTCTTCAAGTCTGCGCGCCTGCCTCTTTGGTTATGAATTCAAAATTCAAATTTATAAATTCACTTAGCAGGTACATTTGAGTTTTGAAAACAGTCATTCATTTGTTTTTTCCTCCTTATTTTTTTCTTTGGCGTCGTTTATTACCGCACAATGGAAATCATGAAATATCGTGTTGTTGTACTGCAGAAACAGCTCGAAAGTTTAATGATGTGTACGGCGCTGGTGTCGCAGAAGAAAGCACGGTACGTTTTTGGTTTCAACGTTTTCGTTCTGGAAATTTCGACCTTCAGATCCGACCCCGTGGACGGCCGCAGACCCAAGTGGAAAATGAAGAATTAAAGGCTATTGTGGAAGCGGATCCATCACGAAGCACTTCAAAGATAGCTGCAGGCTTCGGGGTAAGTGATAAAACTGTAATCCACTGAAGCAAATCGGGAAAGTAAAAAAACTTGAACGACGCGACGGGTACCTCATGAATTGAGTGAATCGAACTTGCAAACACGCGTCGACTGCTGTGTTACTTAGCTCAACTGACACAATAATGAAGGGATTTTAAATCGAATCATTATGATGAAAAGTGGATACTGTACGATAATCGGAAGCGCTCGTCGCAATGGCTGAACCTTGGAGACCCAGACAAATTGACGAAAAACTATTAAACGAAAATTGACTCAGAAAAAGTTGCTTGTGAGTGTTTGGTGGAATAGTGCCGGTGTCGTTCACTACAGCTTTCTAAAATCTGGCCAAAGGATTACGGCAGATATCCATTGTCAGCAACTGCAAACCATGAAGGAAGAACTAGCTGCTAAACAACCGAGATCGGTCAATCGCTCTAGGCCACTGCTGCTTCGCGACAACGCAAGACCATACACTGCATAACAAACAACCACTACATTAGATGAGCTACAATTGGAATGTCTGCGACATCCACCGTACTCCCCGAATCTTGCTCCACCAGATTACCATTTTTTCCGGAATTGGGACAACTTCTCACAAGGAAAAAAACTCCGATACGGCAGTCCAAACCGCCTTTAAAGTTTATTGATTCTCGCCCCCATGGTTTTTTTAAGTAAAGGGATCAAGGATCAAATGAACTACTTATGAGATGGCAAAAGTGCATAGATAACAACGGTGCATATTGTGATTAATTAAATATATTTTACGAAAAAAATTGACTTTATATTCCTCCCGTACAAAACGCCAATTTCATAATATGTAAGGGCCTAATATGAAATCAGTTTTTTTTTGTGTAAACCTCTGAGACAGAGTTAACAAAATGCATTTCCAAAATCTTACCTGTAAAGCTGAACGCATATTTAACGGCGCCGTACGCGCCGCCTTTTATAAAATGCGATAGGTATCCGAATATTGAAAGTCGCATGCTGATGACGTCATATAACCCGGCGCGTTCGTAACTGCTGGTTTCGCCTTACGTGATAATTTTTGTATTTTTATAACTTTTAATTCATTCGTAATTAATTATACATAATTTGAATTTTTTTTGCATCGATTATCAATATGAATACTTAGTGATAAATTATTTAAATACTGAACTAAACAAAATGGTTAAATTTAATTCAAAAACCCAAATATACCTATAATATACTTACCTCAAACATACAACAAATCTTTTCTCTGGTTCAATTGGCCTTCTAAATCTTGAGTTTTCCATAGAAAAGTATGGTTTTAGTATATGTAGCAATTCTTGAAATTTCTTGTGCCTATGTTAAATGCAAATATCTAAAAAAATCGTTCATCATCATCTAATAAGTCTTTAAATAAAGTATATCCCCTTCATATTCTCCATACAATTGCCTTTTTAAATTAATATTATGAATCCAGAATCTTCTTCGAATTTTATTTTTTTCTTCCTCTGCCAATAAGCAGGCTATTACTATATTTCTTTCCATAGTGATTTCGAGCGATCAATTTCATTGTACCGTTTCACACCAGTGGTTGGAAAAAACTACAAAAGTTGTTGTTAATATAAATGATTTGCGTACGGCCAGTACGGCGCGGACGATGCGTACGGTGCGAACAAATGTGCGTTCAGGTTAAGTGACTATTCATAGCTAGAGTTATGCTGTCTTTAAACTGTGGCTGAAGTGCTAAGTGGCTAAGGGTGGTTATTTATTAACCCCCGAAGCAAAAATATAACATATTTTTGTAGTGTGGATCTGTGTCTGTTTGTGGCATCATAGTTCCGGAACGGATGAACCAATTTTGATTAAGTTTTTTAGTTTGAAATGTGCCTTGATCGAGTGTTCCTAACTATATTTCAGGAAAATCTGTTATGCCTTTTGAAAATCACCAGCTATTTTTGTTTCGGGGGTTTTTTAAATTTTTAATTTAAGTTATAGTCCATGTGACTGATAGGAATTTTGTTATATCTGTGCTCAAAGAAAATTAAATAAATAAGTGTATTTAGCTATAGGTTGGTATGTATAGCTTCATTGCCTGTAACTAATCGCAACAATCTGCCGTGCTATTGTGTACGTGTAGTGGGAATCGATTACTGGTAGAAATCACTCGACAACTGCGTTATTTTTATTCTTTATGACGATATAATTTGTAACCTAAAGCAGGTACAAAAAACACTACTTAAAATCTATACTTACACAATACAATGAAACTAAATGTCAAACTTCAAAACCAGGCTGTCCTTATTCCAACCGTAGTTACACAATTGCACTGCTGGTTTAAATGATATGAGGTTTGGTTTGAATTAGATTATGGAATGCTGATTTGTGATTTTTTTATTCATAATTATTTTTAATCAATGTGTTCTAAATAGCTGTTGTCATTTTTTTTAATTATTAAAACTTTCTTGGGATAAGGTAGTAAAGTAGGGTGTGAATATATAATAAAAGTATGATGAATATTTTTCTAAATTATTTATTCCCTCTATTATTCTTTCTTTTTTTCTGATAATCTTAAAATATCTTAGCTCTATGTACAGTTTGTATAAATTAAAGTAGTTAATAGTATAATTTACAGTACACTACTATTGTACAATTTCTTTCGTAGGTTTGAAAGATTGACTACCTATTTCAATGCCACGCTTTCAATATATGAAAGTATCGGGATTCCCAAAGGCTTAGTGTAACAGAGTGATTAAAAACAAAATGATTTTTGATACAGTATACAATTTTATCGTATGCTAATGTGTCATGATTTCACAATTTCGATTGAACAATAAAGAAAATGATTACAAAAAGAAACTCAACACCAAGTACCAAATGAGACATTAATTTTGTAACAGGAGGAAGTGCCCGCCGCAGCGTCGACCACAACAACAATAAATTAGTTTTACATTAAATACATGGCACAGACCAAATTCTTTGACCGTATTCGGTACGTGGTGATGCGATTTTTTTTAAAAGAAAGATTTTATTTGCGCTCTGATATAATAACAAAGTAATAATTTCGCACGTATATATATGCCGAATAATCACGATTTAAAAAACAAAATAATATTAATCAAAATAACTATGATGGAAGCAACTGAACGTAGCTGAACAGAAGTATTACCGCGTCAGCGTAACAACGTAATGGCAATCAAATTAACGCTAAATAACATCGGTGGAGATCACAATTACACGATATAACTTTATTTTTTAATATAAATACAAAATATACATACCTAGGTAATTAATTTACCTAATCCTATAGAAACAACTTCAATGCAATATATCCATCTATATTGATGTGAAATTGATATGAATTACGTTAGACTTAGCAGGAATTATTTTAATAGTTAACACTTCGGCTCAATATCTCTACGTCCGAATGTGTCGGAGGCAGCGAGATTCGCCGACGCGCGATTTTGTAACGAACCTAACTGAAAGCCCTGGCTCTCCCACATTCACAGCAAAGATGGATCTCTTATCATTCCACAGTAAAAGATCACAAGTATGCGTTATCAGTCTCACTTATTCTGTCATTACGTTACCACAGATCGTAAAAGCCTGAACGGCGTGGTGTCAATAAAAGCCGCATAAAACCGAAACGCCGTTGCAACAGCGCGTATGCTCCCCGTCGGTAGAATTATGCGAATGTTATTGTCGGACGTTCGAGCTCCTACTATTATAAATTAGTTGGTCGACGGCGCGGACCAGCCGCCGCCGTCAGATCCCGCTTTGGACCTTAATCACTAAATTTAAATCTCTACAGAGACCTTTATTTGGCTTGAGGTGTACAACTAACTGAAACAAACGCTGGCGTAGTGCCGACACATGCTCTCTGGACCGACATTTCAGTGAGCGCAACCGCAAGCTTACACGAAACTTAGGCCGGAATCGCTTCTACACAAATCATAAAATAAATATGGTCAGGTGTCTGGACGATTGCGAATGATAGTGACTGAAGCATTCGATCGCTTGCAAATAATAATACAGCGCACACTGAAACTACTCTTCGTTGTTTACACTTAAATTCATTTGAGAATAAAACTAATTAAATATCACAACCATTCGTAATCGCCCACAGCATCTGAGTGACAAAAGGCAGAACTGCACGATTGCCAGTTCGCTGGAAGCGGGGGTTTAAAGTTAGATGCAATCTTCTATATCGACGTCAGGCACTAAACGGTCTAAGGAAGCGGCGGCACGCGGTGGAAGCTCGTTCCTAGGATCCCTCGCCAGCCAGGGATGGCGTAGGACATCCCTAGCGCTGAGTCGCTCGCATGCCTCCCGTCTCAACAGCGAGCGTATGAGGCACTTCCCTCGCGACGACAAGCACTCTGGTACGACGAAGTACCCCCGTGAGATTTTCGCAAATAATGATGCGTGCTCCGAATCGTTGAACGGATACCTATAACAAAATAAAAAATATTAATTAGCAACTGTCACATAACTAAACAACTTGTAAAAAGTTGATAAAAAACAGGAATGATAGAAGTAAAACAAAGTTCACATTTTTCGAGCCCACATCGTTTTAGACCGATAAGATCATTAACGTCCACATTTAGAACTCCATAAACTGTAGCGTTTTTATAAAGCTCGGCTCCAAATTAACGAACTCCCGATTCGATTGTCATTTGTTGAGAGCAGATGCGCGACTAAATAAAAACTCAGGTATGATGGAACCCTTCCGGCGACAGGTGATGCCGGCGATTGCGGCGAAATCCCGAGTTTCGAATTTTAAATTACGGGTGCTCGATTCCGAAGAAAAACAAAACAAAGACTCGCAAAGGGCAGGTGCGTGCGAGGGAGTGCATTCGGGGCGGGAGCAACGTCTTCGCCACATGACCGCGGCAGGTGTAGGGAAGATTTCGTGAGGCTCGTTTATATGTGGGTGATATAATTGTTGGCCGTTGGCGCGTAACGGCCGACAGGTGATCATCCCCCGTCGCCAACGGTCGCCTCGAACCGCGTGATCTCGCCAAACGGTAAGTCCCACGCCGGCAGGTGAAGACGCCGACCCACCCTACGTTTTAATTTATGCACTCAATTGTACATACTAACCTATTTGTTGTGACAATTAAGGCTTGTGAATTACAAACGACTGTACGCGAAAGGACACTCTTTGGATAGGTATTACTATTTTAAGGAGATTATAATTAAATTTGTATAGCCTGATTTTAATAGCTATTATAAAAAAATACATACCTCCCAACTAGCATGGTGTATAATATGACGCCAAGCGACCACATATCAGCCGCTCTCCCAGAGTACGTCCGATGAGCTCTTAAGATCTCGGGTGACACGTAGGCCGGGCAGCCTCGCTTATCTTGAAGGAGATCCTCTTCTGGGTCGTCGAGAACAACCGCGTCTTCTAACGACTCTAGTTTTAGCGTCGTCCTGAAACAAAAAGGAAAGGGTATTTAGAATAGATTGCAATTGAACGTAATAAAAATAATACTAGGACAATTTACGTATAAAAGGTTAACTGAATGCGATCATCGGGCAGTGACCTACATTAATCAGGAGCGTTCGACGCGATCTATCATATCTGCACATCGCGGGTCGCCCCTCTCCAATACATCCCTTTGTGTACAAAGCTTTGTCGGATCGCTGTTAACGATTCGCGCGTATAACTAATTAGTAAAATATAAGTTACAAATGGCTCGTTTTGTTACAGTAACATATCGTCAGTGTACACGTTTTGTCATGTAAATAATTGTGTGGCGAACCATAAAGCTGTGACGCAATAAGTTTTGTTTCATCACATCACGGGCTTTAGGCGCACCGCGACCTCGTATTTCACAGCCGCCGAATAGTTTCGAAATGCATTAAATGCACAGTTCGAAACAGCAAATCGACACCTCGACGTATGTTTCAATACCACCTCGGATGATCTATGTGTTTAATTAAGATTTGTCCGTTTTTTTTCAATTTATGACATCATCAAAATGCATACTTGACCGTTTAGCTCCGCCGGCTTCGTAATGTTTGCAGAATGCGCGTGCCTTATGAATGTTTTCTTTGAATTATGTGAACGTTCTGCATTGTCCTCGAGGTTTTGCATGTAGCGCAATGTTTCATGTTTATGTTGCAAAGTTATTGGCAACGCTTAAAGAATCATTTTTAATGAGGAAATAAAGAAGTGTAGAACCATATATATAGTAAAGCAGGTGCGCTATAGTCGTTCCCATGCATTAAGTCGACAGCATTAACGTATAGGATATATTTAGCTGGTTTAATAATATACCAAAGGGGGAGTGGCGGGTAGATTTATTTAACGTAGAACTCCAGTTCTAAATTTGTATTCAAAAAATCTATTACAGCCTCTATGTGTAGGACTTTACACATCGAACATGACGAGGAGACTGATTGCATGAAACTCGCGATATTGTTACAGTTAGACAGTAGTATTCAGAAAATTGTAGAAGCAATAAATAATCAGGTTTGCTCAAAGCACAGTTACTTAAGCCGTTAGTTACGACAAATGGCCTATCAGCGGAATCGAGACTCGAGACTGTGGAACCGACGTAGCGAGGTTGCCCACTCGCAGAGTCATTGAATGCGACTGCCACGGATTACCATAATGCAGCACCGTTCTTGATAATTTCAAAAGCGAAATAGTAATTTAATATGAGTATGTTTATGAACCGATTGTGACGATACATATCGACTGGCACCCGCTAAAGGTTACTCTTGTTAATGCTGTCGCAACGCTGCGTCGGTTATCTCTTGAAATATTGCCTCGCCGACGGATTACCAATGACATTGTTTTGGGATCTCTTATTTGTATAACACTAGCGACTTTCTTCGACTTCACATGTATGCTATTCTCCGGTGTGTTGTTTATTATGACTTGTCCAATAATTTTTCATAAAACTTTCTTTTTTACACGAAAACTTTTCTCGAGAAATTTTTCTAGAATGATAGTGAAAACCACATTTAAACCCATGAGGCTGTTTTAAGTGAATAGCTAGCTAGACACAGATAAACGACTTCGTTTTTTTAACATTTAGTTATTACTTGTTATAGTTTTAGTCTACTCAGAACGTGGCACGTGCTAAGCTCAACTCATTGTTAATGACTTTCTGTGAGAACTGTGAGAACTCTTTATTGAGAATTTTTTTTTATTTATTAGGATACGGATTTCAGAAGGCGTCCTCGTATCTGTTACAGGTCTCGCGACTGCGCAACTGTTCCTAATTAAAATCCCTTACACCGGCAAGGCTAAAGTGCGATGTCTACAGTTGCAATCGATTCGCATTTCGCAACTTTGTAAATAAGTTATACGGTGTCGTAACGCGGTCGGAAGGTTGGCCGGATTTCCGAGCGTGTTCCGAGCGGCGCGGTGGCCTCGAAGGATTCTCGTGGCTCGGACGCGGGACCGACGCCGAAACCACGGCGAAAGGACAACCCACTTTACCGAGCCGCCAGAACTCACTCACTCCACTCACCACACTCTCGAGTCTCGAGGGCTGCCGTCGACAATGTTGAGTTCCAACGCCTAATTGCACTAGTGTCGCACTCGAATATAAAACAGACATACTACATATTACTAAACTGACTCACGTTCACAGCTTCGCAATTCCGTTAACTAACTGGTAAACGTTTCGATGGAACTACACGTTTGTAAACCGAGCGGCGTTTAGCCTAATAATTACTGATTCGTACTTATATTAGACATAACCCTCTTTGTGTTTCAACTAATAATCGTATATGTAGCTTTCTTTTCAGTTAATATGTTAATAGGTGTATCATAATGGACGTGTGGGAGAGCGCCCACAATTAACGGGATGCGCCGGTGCCGGTTTCGCAATGGCCGCCGTTGCTCAACTCAACCCTGAGAGTTTCGTAATAAACAATGGCAGTGATCGGCGCACAGATGCAGCACACATGCATGCACTTCCTGCTCGAGTTTATATCGCTGCGTCGCCCGCTTGCGCAAGCGCAACCAATACACGAAACTGGCTGATGCGACGTGCACCGTCCGACGCCGTTGCGAAATGTCGCGCCTAATCATAAACGATGCACAATCCGTTTACTCGGTGCGGCTCGCCTCTTAGCCCTACAACTGTTAGTCATTGGTTTTCGTAACCCGCGCCGTAGGGACATGTAGTGTGGCAAGCGCGTTGCCTCACCGCGGAGATGCCGGGATACGTTGGGAAACCATCCCGACCATGTCCAATTATACTGCGGCTCACGTTGCACAATGTTCGCCCGACGAACTCTCCACGCTATTTGACTGATAACCAACGTAAATATTATGAGCGATAATTTGCATTATCTAGACTACACACTATGGACATACGTGACACTAAATGTCGGCCGTAGTTGCATAATGTTGCGAAATGTGCGACACAGTGAACTAAAACATCTGTCGCGTAGTTATCGGTATACGCTTCCACGCTCCAGAATTTAGGTCTCGAAACCGCGCTAGGAGTTCGGTTTGTTTTATCGGCGCGCCGATAACGCAAGTCGAGCATTTTGAAACCGTGCGCTGGGCCGCTTGCGAAAACACTAATGTGAACATCGGTTGCAAAATTGTTTTAGTTTTAAAATCGAATGCAGCGGGCGAATGCGATGGGCCGGTTCGGCTGTGACATTTGCGGCTGTCGTGGTGGTGAGCAGATCCAGTAGCGCAAGCGCGCTGTGGGCCGTATTTGGCAGGCGGGCGGCGTCGGCGTGCCGTGTCACAATGCCGTAGATTATGAGCTCGTTGCGATATGGCATGTTGCAAGCGCGGGCGTCTGTCCAAGCGCCGCTCGAACGATCCCGTGTTGCAATTGCGGCGCCCGTTACGCAAACGCACCGCTCGCAATTAGCCCGCTGCGTACGCCATCCATCTCCGGCTCCCGACGCGCTCCGTCGTTTACGAAACAACGCCACCGTTCGATGACCCTCGCTATTACGCGAAAGTTACGCAACGAAGAAAGCGTCTAGTGCGTCGTCGCCCGCGAAATCTATCCGAATTCTCATCGATCTCCGTCACGAATTGCCGCAATTACACCGTCACGTAACGGCGAGTGTTAAATCCGGTGAGCGGTCGACTTTCTAACGCGGGGTCGGTGTACGCGGCGGGCGTGTCGCAATAATTTCTCCGGCGTCGCGAACGAAGAAAGCGCGACCTCCGTGGTATTTTGCAATCACTCGCAGCACAACAGAAAGAGAGCGGTAGAAAGCTTGTAGTGAGATGATGTTAAAGGGATGCTTATACGGAAAATGCAGCAATAAAATGCATTGATGTCCCTACTCTCTAGCCGGCGGGAGTTCAAACTTTGTTTAGTAACTGAATTGGGCAAATAGGCCCATGCTTGCGCAAGACACGATAAACGCGCGAGCCTATGTCACCGCTGGTGAAACACTTCCGTTCATTGACTCCTTCCCGATATAACTACGCTGCATTTCGTAATAATTTCGCCGCACGCAACGATACGTGTATCCGCTCGATAAGTGCGGAAATCGGCAAAAAATGTCCTCCGCTAGAATAGCATCAGTACCGTTCATCTTAAGGGGCCCTTAAGTGGTTTGAAGTTAGGTCATCGGCGCTCGTCGCGATCCCCGATCTTTGTCGCAACAGTTCGAGTGCTGTAGATCCAGCTAAGAGTACCGCTATTAGGATGTAAAGCCAAGAAACATCGGATAACCGGCGCGGCAGCCGGGTTGCGTGAGCACTTTCATAACGCGTTGTTACGTTTCTAGTCTACTGTAACAGTTGAGAAATGTGAAGGCAAAAAGCTACTGCTCTCATATCGCGGATGAGTAATCATCATTAGTCGACTGCTGAGTTGGTGAAAAAACGTAACATTCCAGACGTGTGATTGCCCGTTACGATAACTTTCACGTAACTTAGTAACGTAAGTTACTTGAAACCTATGGTATGATGCACTATAATCGTAGGTGTTGTCACCTGGCGGCAGGTGGTCGGCTGTGGAACCGCTTGTATGCTGAGACTGTCATAAAAGGCAGCTGCTCGTGTTTGTCGCCGACAGATGCGGTCTAGATCGTCGGATAAAAAGAGTAAATCCACATAGGCGGCCGCAGTTTCCGCCGCGCGCCACACGCGGCTGGAATCCACAATTGTTTCGCTATGCAATCGCTTCCTTCACATTATTAGGAGTCGGAAGTGCGAAACGCTCGAGATTTATTGTCCTCCCGCATTTAATGTGTAAATAAATCCGAAACGGAATTAATTTATACACCTCTTTCAGTTGCGTACATCTGGATCCTCATTCGAACTTGCGATTTTTAATTATTCATTGTACGATATTTAAATTTCTAAGAAATTGAAATCAACTTAATATAGATCCTTTACAAAATAAATCTCTGTATAGGCAATGGATATAATAAATATAATTAATCATAAAGAATGGTTGCAGCGAGCGATGCAAGAGCTTGCGATA